CTTCCGATCTCACACTATCTAGAGTGCTTCTCCGCGAACTTGGAGGCGAACTTCGGCTTCTCTTGTAGACTCTCGATCTAGAACTCGACCTAGATCGAGCTTTCACCCTGGATAACGCGGTTCTTGTTAACGGTGGCGATGGTGGTAATTCTGACCATTCGTGGTTTGTCGAATCCGACCAGCCAGAACCTTTGAGCGCGATAGGCCAATCGCCATTTCTCACGAGTGGCGGCGATACCGGCATCTCCGACCAATCGCCGGACTCTCTTCGTCCACCCTCGGAAGCAGTTCTATATTCTTCGTCGGATGAAAACAAAACCGATCTAGGCGTGATGGATGTCGAGGGAACGACAGAGTCTCTTTCACGATCCATAATAGATCTACAATATAAGACAGACACAATTTTATATATATATACTCTTTAAAAAATTTTTTTTAAAAGATTCAACTCTTTCTCTCTCTCTAACTATTTTCCACAAAAGGCCTTTTCTATTTTATAATAACTACGCTATAACATTTTATATAATATTAAATATTTTAAATTCTTTACTTCATTGATCTAAGAAATTTCACTCGATTGATATTGCTATGTAAATTACATATTAAAAGATTTTGTAATAATACTCACGTAATAGGCGATTGCGAATTTGTTTCTTGCTGAGTGTCTGAGCAAACGGTAAGAGAATCTACATTACTGTCAGGATCAGGTAGATTGGCCGCTCTTTTGATAGCCGACATCCAACTAGACCTAATACCAGCAGTCACCGCCGATAACACCGTACTGCCCCTGTCGTCCCAAGCCTGTGTCGAAAACCAAAGCTATAAGTACGCATAGTTTCATTTTGAGCAAAAAACAAGGTCGTTTAATGCAATTTTGTTAAACTTAAGAAAGAAATGATATAAATCTAATTTCAAAAAATATTCTCTCTCTATTTTAATATAAAATAATATATATTATATAAAGCAGAGATTGTGCAAACGCGGTTATTTTTTAGAAAATGTAAATATTTTTCGCAAACACGATATCGTAATTATAATACTCACGACAGTTTGAAATCCATAATTTCGCGCGACCTGTAGCGGCGTAACCGCGGTGACAGTGTTGAGGTCTATTACGCCATCCATGATGCCCTTGTCCTCCGCACAGGGATCTCTATAATACATTAGTCCGCAGCCTCTTAGAACAAACCAGTGCTTGTTCCATTCCTAGACAGAAGAACGAATTTCTTAAGAAATGCTCGCGAGAGATTACGTTCACGAAGACACGAGACGCACCTTATTCAATCCCTGTTTCATCAGCCAACCCTTCTTGATGTTCAGCAAGTCCTCTGCCGGCAGATCAACTCTCAGCTCGGAAATGGGCGAGTACCTGATGCCGGAAATATCTAAGCCGCAGCCGTCGGGATCGCCTCTTATCTACATATGAGACGCATTTCATAACATATAATTATCGTGTTTTTATTTCAAACTAATACAAATGATTATACATAGAAATGTCGCGTTTTTATTTTTTATAAAATATTAATTATTATTTTATTAATATTATTTTTTTTAATTACATTATTATATTACTTATTATTAGTTTAAGTTTTTAAATTATTAGATTAAGTTAGAGTAGAAATAAAATAAAACATTCTTATAAAACCGAAAATATAAATATGTTTTAAATACGCAATGATTAATTGTCATCTGTTAAAATGCAAGATATAGATATAATTAATGAATATTTGCTATATTTTTTCGTACAAGCTTATCTTGATGAACCGCATTGACCGCGTCCACGACGTCTCTGGTCGGCTCCGAAGTTCTTGGTTTGATTCTCCTCACTCGTGGCTGCGTTAACGAAGCCGCTATATCCCGCAGCTTCCCTTCTCTTTCCCGCTCGTGCTCCAAAAGTATCCTCCGGCACGCGTCATCATCTGTATAATATATTTAACTACATTTCTGTACGGTATTTTTGTCGCAATATATTTTTTCTTCACACGATATATATATATGTACATACATATATACCTTATATATATACAATATATATAAAAGATATATTATAAAAAACATAATTTAATTTATCTAGCTATCCATCTATTCGTTTATTTATTTCATTATTTCTCACGTGTCTAACAGCGGTAGTTCAGGATAATATAAATTATAATTATGATACTTAGAATTCCACGGACAGAACAACCATCGCACGTGAAATCGTTATGCCGTCTTCCTGCGTTTGTCGTTATCAAAACATTCGCTTCGGTACGTCGGCGCGCGCGAGTTAACTAATTAATTTCTTTTCCGCTTATAAGAGTGCCCTTCGTCCAACACGTTGACGCCTGCACGGGCAAACGACCACTCCGCATTAATTGACCGCCGACTAATTAATAATCTGGTTGTGCTTCTTGCTGCAGCAGGAAGCATCAGAGAAGTGAAAGACTATCTTGCGCGCTTTCCTCCTTGTTTACCTTAGCAATATGTCAAAATCAAACACGTCATCGTTATATTAATGGCTATGAGCATAAAAATTATCACAATTTATCTCTATAAATAAAATTAAAATTAATAAAATAATTAAAATAAAAGGATTTTTCTGTTGAGAACTTTTGTGAGAAAACTATGACGTTGCTAATAAATTGCATAGATAAATTCCGCAAATAAATTCCGTATCAGAATTTTTCATCGAATGCGATTAAAACCGACTGAGGCTTTAATCAACGATCTGCGGTTTAAATCTCCCAATGATTCCGACGTTCCGATAAAACGCACGCGTTTCAATAATCCACGTTCGTTGTAAATCGTTAGTGAGACTGTTCCACGGATTTCGCATGCCTTGGTCGGATTTTTCGCGATGCAGTTTCTAAAGTATCCCGTCGTTCGTTCGGCGTCAATCTAAATGAAATCTACGAATCGCGGTGCAATGCACAGCGGCCGAGTGACCGCAGATTTCCTACGCGATTGTGCGCACGCAATTACGCAACTACGCCGGATACTATCAGGCCCCGATATTCTCCCGAGACTTCTCTCGGGAGGCCAAGGTTTGATTGTAAAAATCGTGAAAGAAGGAATAGTGGCGAAACCGGTTTTTCTTGACAAAAAACACTCTGTGCTATTGTTATATGTTGCAAGTAAATTATTTTTCTAAATAGTATCTATTGGAATGCAAATAAATTACTTTCCTTTAAATAATACGTATCTCGAAATCTTTTTTGCACTGTATCACTAATTCTCTTGAAAGATATCTAATTTCATTAATATAATTTTCTATATGCGAATCTGGAGCAACATTTCTTTGAACTATTACGTTTGTTATATTAATTATATAGAATAAAAATAGGTCAGCTGTCCGACTTAATACGTCAGCTGTTTCTTTTGCGGATTGCAAATCATCGTCATTGAGAATGTAAAATCCAGCGACCTAGTTTCCATCCGTATCTAAACTAGTTTTATCCGACTATTAAGAATAAGAAAAACTTTCGACGTAAATCGTGACAAAGCGAGACGAACATCTTGAAAGTTATTACTTCTAATGTAACTTTCATGTTATCTTGAAATATCTCAGAGAAATGAGATATACCTAATATTATTTTTAAATTATTTACTATCAATCATTCATGTCCTAATTTCAATATGATCTCGACAGCACAACGCAAATCAATCCAAACGAAGCGATCAAATACAGTAATATATCTTTCTATCATCAGGTATCTAATTATAATATCATTAAAGGATATCTAGTTTAATTAAATATAATCGAAAAAATAAGTCACGAGCGATTGAAGATCATTGTCACTAATAGTTTTATAATCTCATTAACTTTTTATCAAATTTTAATTAAACTATTAAAATTTTAGAAATGCGAATCGAAAAATAATTTTATAAATAAATTCAGAAATGTGAACAAAGAAATCTTCCGCGTATTGACAAAAATCACAAGAATCATCAGGCAAACATCGTGTAATCGTAATCAGAGTCAAGGAAATGTCAAAGCACAGATGATAATTTTATCTGTCAAAGGCATCGGACACTCGAAGAAATTGTGTCTCATCGAATATACCGACCTAGTTTCTCGCCGGAGGCCGTGCTGGTCGTGTCGCCGGTTCGTTCGCCCTGCTGATTCATCCTGCGCCTGGCCTTGTCCTCGGCACGGAGCTTGTCTCGGGTCGGTGGTGACGCGCTGCTGGCAGGTTGATCCCGATAGCTCGTTGATCTCGCGCCGTCGTTGGGGATCATCGGCGGCTTATCGGTCAACGAGGCGGCATTGCTCGAGATGGTTGTCGAAGTGGTCGAATAAACAGTGCTGCAAATGTTGCCGTTCAACGACGCCGTTGTCGTCGTTGTCGCGGTTGTCAGATAGCTTCCGCTGGAGCCATTCTCGAGGGACGCCACAGTATGCAAGGGCGATAAATTGTTTCTGACCTCAGAGACGCTCTCCGTGTTACCGTTGGTCAGCACGCTATTGTTAGTCGCGGTGCAGACGCTAGTTGTTACCAAGGACGGCGTCGACGAGAAGACGGAAGAGCACAAGTCTGACGTTCCGTTGCCGGTCTCCGGGATCCACGCGCTGCTGCGCGGCTCTGATTGACAGCTATTGAAGCGCGGTCGCGGTGGATTTGGTGTGTTACCTGCGATGATCAAGTTTCAATGCCTTTGTAAGAATTCAGGTGATTGAATGCGCATTTGCGATGCGAAAGCTTTGAAATCTCCACGAAGGAGCCGAAAGAAAATTAAGCAATTTTTCTTTCTAAGAAAGGAATTTTTTACTAAACTTAAAAAAAAATTTATACATATATAAAACATATATACTTATATATTTAAGAAACACCATCGTATGATTTGACTCGAGTTAAGTTGTGCTGTAATTTCTGAGAAAAATGATTGAGATAGATCTAATTAGAGGTAACGAGAACTAGAGATAACGAGGTGATAGTGATACGTAATAATGACAGTATATATATTATGAAAAGATATGTGCTTTCTCCTTCACACGCGAAGGTATCGTCTTATTATTTATATCCACTTCTGTCACACGCATCTCATGTTTACTACGCTGGTTAAATTGTTGCACATTCCACCTCTCATTACATCAAATTGCTTGCGTAAAAGACTCTTGTCTGTGCAATATTACTTTTCCGCAGAGAAAAATGGAAATGACTAAGCGAGGTAGTAATTACGCCATCGTTAAACTACTGGCGTGGACATATCTTTGCATACATGCGTATTATTGTAAAATTTGCATAACATGAGCAGTAGGCATACTCACTTCGAATCGTCGGCGTAACTTGCAGAATCGTCGTCTGTCCGCCGGGGAAGGTTGCATTTCGCTTATGCCGACCCTGAAAACCACAGAACGCAAATCGTGAAGAAATTGCGACGGAATATTTCCACAGATTCTATTATCAAAACCCTCGAGCGTTTTTTTCCGCCGTTAAGGATCTCAGCTGATTGGATAATCGATCTGGAAATTGATCCGCAATAAACGCGCGAATAATTACGTTTATCCTCGACCATAATCGTAAAAACACGACAATCCTTAAACACAAACGAATGTGTATCTCATGGAAAATATTTACTCAAATTTAATCAAAAGATATTTAGTTAATTAATTAATCAATTATATATATATATAATGCTCTATCTTTTTATTTATATAATTAGCGTTATTAATGCATGCGACATTGTTTTCATATACCATTTCGTAACTTTAATTTAAAAAAGTTGCAACGGTTGTGCAACTTCGCGAAGTCATCTCGAGGTGATCGCGAAGCGATCGAGCGCCCTTTGCGCAAACAACGCGACAATTCCAAGGACAATGGGAAGAATGGGGAGGAAAGGAAAGGGAAGTAATTGCAAAAAAATGTGGAAAAAAACGCGGGAGCAACATTTCCTCCACGTTCACTGCGCTAAATGTCGCATGGCACGCATGCATCTTGCCTTGGCCTCGTAACGTAATCGTTCGTTTACACCAGTGACGAGGTCCACGGCAACGACGTGGTGTAGCCGTATGCCGATCGATCATTGCTTGCGTAACGGAATTAACGTGTGCGCGTAGCCATGTAATCTCGTACGAACAATGCGAGAATGCGAGACCGCGATGGGATCCTAAACGATTCTCGCGAGAACGATTGATCGATTGTGGCCGCGACGCGAAACCCGCGAGCGCAGAAAACACTCCATTCTGTTCTCTGAAGAGATAATTATCGAGCTATTGCATTGGATGTGCGCAAAGAAGACTGAGTATGAAGAAGAATGCTTTTTGTCTGAGAATTGCAGGAGCTTTAACAGGCACGAGTCTCGCAATACATAATTTATTATAATTTACAACGCATCGGCTTTACAAGATGATATTTATATATTTGAAAATATATATATCTTTTAAGCGTTCTCGAGACAATGTATGATAATTCAAAAAATATTCTTCCTGCATTTTCAACAAGTAATTCAAATAAAACTTAATTTAAATAAAAATATACGCGTTGCAACGAGAAAAAAAAAAAAAGAAATCAGCCGAAATACAAGATATATCGTAACGTGTGTGGAACTTATTTCGAGAATAAATTTCTGAATCCTATGTATCCCATAAATAAAATATCTTCCATGAGATCTATTCTTCGGTAAATGACGTCAATACGACGGTGTGTTATATCGCACGCGTCACGATGCAATAACTAATGTTTCGCGTTTTGTACCAGAAGCACTGAATGAAGAGATATTTCTCCGCTCGCCGATCGATCATGTCTTACGTAATTTCGCGGCCGAGTAATCCGCGGTGTTATTACAAAGTTCCGAGCAGTGTAACGAACGACAGCTTTTGAGCGGTTCGATTTACGGCGTCTGATTGATTGGAAGGTTCGCGCGAGCGCGAACACCTCCCCGTACCGGATACCAATTTAGTCGATAATCGAGGAAGGCTAAACAATTACGGCGTAATTATGGCGGGGAAACGCTGGTCCGGCCCAAATTTCGTCGCGACTTGTACGTGTTGCGCAACAAATATACACGCGATATGAACACTTGTGTTTGAGGCGCTGTAAACCATCGTCAATGTTAAATCATCGTCACGCAGAGCGTTCTAATAATTGCTTTACAATCCCAATATTCGCGACGTGCACGAAACGTTGTAAATTTATTTATAGATTGCTTTATCGCGCCGT